TTAAACTGGGCAGTCAGCTACCAGAGACTGCAGCTTGTTTCTCTCTTTTCCTTTTTCAAGCTTTTGAGGCAAAAGAGTTCTGGGTACACCTGAGGAAGGAATTCAAGTGTTCCCTCCTGCGTTTTTTTGGGTGAAATCACTTGATGGAGGCAGCTTTTTGTGGGGTTTTTTTTTCTCAGAGCCATTGCATCTGTGACTCTGGGGAGCTTTTATGTAAGCAGAGCCTATAGAGGTTTACATATTTAAGGTATTTAAGGTCTTTGCTGGCCTCCGCTTTCTTCACTCGGAATGCCAGAGTGAGGAACAGCTCTGACAGGGAGTGTTACTGTCTCATTTATGAAATCCTTAGAATTAAAAACACAATTTTTGCTTTACAAGAATCAATACCTTCACATAAGGTAACAATATGTAATACTGATTTTTTCTCAAAGAACAGCTTACCAGGTAAAGAAAACTGTCAAGATTGATTTTCAGAAAAGTCTAGATTTTATGGAAAAGCAAAAGCAAACTATTACTAACAGAACAAGAAAACTGCATGAAAACATTGCTCTGTTCTCCATTCTTTTGTCTACAGAGAAATATTTTCTCTAATCATTCCATAAAATATATTGTCTAAAATAGCTGAACACTCCTTATTGAAGACTTTTTTAAACTATAATATGTGTTTCCTTATCAAACTGGGACTAAAACCAAATTCAGATCTACAAATCAAAAACATAATGGATTTTTTTAAGAATCTGAAAGTAATTAAAGAAAATGTAGACCAGTGGTCCCCAACCTTTTGAGGTTGTTGGGTGCCAGGGGGCGTGGCCGTTCGCCCGCCGGGCACCAGGGGGTGGGGACACTTGCGCGCCCTGGGGGCTCCCCCCCCATAGCTGCATGCCCGGGGGCGGGGGTGTCCCCCCAAATCAAAAACATAATGGATTTTTTTAAGAATCTGAAAGTAATTAAAGAAAATGTAGACCAGTGGTCCCCAACCTTTTGAGGTTGTTGGGTGCCAGGGGGCGTGGCCGTTCGCCCGCCGGGCACCAGGGGGTGGGGACACTTGCGCGCCCTGGGGGCTCCCCCCCCATAGCTGCATGCCCGGGGGCGGGGGTGTCCCCCCATAGCCATGCGCCCGGGGCCCCCCCATAGCTGCACGCCCGG